AACCGAACTCAGGTCCTCTGCCAGAGCAGCGAGTGCTCTTAGCCGCTGATGCATCTCTCCAGCTCCCCCGTCATTTCCTAAAAACACAGATTCTTTGAGTCATTTGAAACCTATCCTGTGGCCCTAAAGGGCACCATGGCTTCAAATGATAGGCTTTGGTTCCCCATCAGAGGGTAAAGCCCTTATCCACCCCTCCAGCCTCTTCCCTAGACACTCTGCTTTTCCTCATTCCTCCAGCATCCTCCCCTGCTCTGAGCAGGGGCAGCGTTGTGCCTAGCTCATCTGCCCCACTGGCCCCTCAGTGCTGAGCTCAGGGAGGGTGGAGACAAGGCTTAGCTCTCTGCAGACCCTGGGATTTCCTGTAGCCTGGCTACAGGAAAGGAGGACTTGTGAAGAGAACTGGAAGGCTTGGGGAGCAACGGGAGCCCCCAGATGTGTGCCACTCAGAACACTGACAGAAAGTTCGGCCCAGGGCCCGAAAACACTCCTCAGAGCTGGAGTCTTTGGCACACCTAGTGAAAAGCTTCTTGAAATAACACTTGACTCTTTAAGCAATAAACTCAGCATACAGGGAAGTCCCAAAGCCCCAGTTAAGAATACTAAAATGAATACAAGGGTTTATGGGTTAAGAGGGTTGCGATTATCATATATAATAAGATTGATTGAGCACTTACTGTATGTCAAGTGTACATCTAAATGATTGGCATGTATCAACTCACTCCTTCAAACAATCCCCTGTGGGAGTTACTTAGATAATTTCAGTTTTATAGATGAGGTTTGGCAGAGACATGGTTTTCTGTCATTAGCTGGTAGAGGGCAGATCTTAAACAAGTCAACATAAGGATTTGGTTTGTCTATTCACCAAACAAGGACTCATGGGTCAAAAATTTAAACAAAATGACACGGTAACTCATAACTATAGTTTTAGTACTCTGGAAACTGAGGCAGGAGAATTGCTGTGAGTTTGAGGCCAGCCTAGGTTACATTACACAGAGTGTTCTGAGTCAGCCTGGGCGAGGCAGGAGGACCCAGTCTCATTCTCCCCACTCCCATGACGACTTCACCAGGGTTTTTGCTTCTGTAGAAACAGCCTCCCCTTTACCAGCTTAGGTATAAGCTCTGGAGCCTAGCATCTCAGGCTGTGACAGCTGTCTCCGTTGTGGTTCCCCTGCCCTGAAGGTCCTAAGGTTCTCCTTCCCCAAGGCTCCACGCTGCTGCCCTCACCAGATACCTTCTCTTTCCCACCATGACGCGAAACCTTTCATGGCTTCTCACTTGGCCTTTGCTGTACCTGGAAAACTTCTTCTTCAGGTGTTGTTGTTCTTTCCCCCTACTGACGGCAGAAGTAGCCCATGTTCCCATGGCGGATAGGTGGTCTGCTCATATCTCTGTTCCCGTGGCGACGGGTAATTTGCATCTACTTTTGTCACATGCTTACCTTGCTCTTACGTGGTCACTGTATACCTGCTTTGCCTACTGGACTGTGATCTTCTTGAGGAATACAGTGGTGTCTGGTCTCAAGTCTAGCCTGTTGGAGGACAGAGCCACTCAGCCTAACAACCAGAAACCGAAAAACAATCTGTGTCATCTCTGTCATCTCTAAATCTGGCAAGAAATAGCAAAGGGAAAATCCCATTTACAGAACAGAATATGAATATCATCTCCTCCCTCTGGCAATAGCCCCAGTGTTTCCTCTCTTGACCATCATGGAGAATGTGACTGTGGCTAAGTCTTGTGTCTCTTGTTTTATATACTCTCCATTTGGATCTTTTATGTCTTGGGCCAGCAACTCTGTCCGTCCTGTCTTAATCCCACCTGTACCACAGCTGGCTGCACAGCTGTGCTCACCTTGTGTCCCTAGCTACTAAACAGAGCCTTGTGCCGGGGTAGGGCTCCTGAGGATGACTCCTGGTGTGGGAAACAAACGCACAGTCTCTGCTTACAGATTCCCCTTCCTCCTTTCTCTAAGGAAAAGCCCGGGTGTATCCAGAACCTTCCATGAACTGGCCTGAATATCCCTTCCCTTCTTCTCTCCATGAGATTTCTCCATGAGTTGTAGGTATTGAGTGAAGTATCCTCACTATTCCAAGCCTGTGTTTCCCTGCCTGCTTCCCTACCCCTGCTGGGCACACTGATCTCTGTATCTGTCAGTTAGTCCTTGCCTAGACTACCTGCCATCATCCCCATCCCATTTCCTTGTCTCTGGGATCACCCCTTGCCATTCCTCAGACCTTGTAAGGCTGAATGACCTCCAAGAATGGACCTTCTTTGTGACTTATCATTTGGGAAAAACTATATCTTTCTTATCTTTTCTTTCTTTTTTTTTTTTTTAAAAAGATTGATTTATTATGTACAGTGTTCTATAAGCATGTATGCCTGCAGGGCAGAAGAGGGCACCAGATCTCATCATGGATGGTTGTGAGCCACCATATGGTTGCTAGGAATTGAACTCACGACCTTTGGAAGAGCAGTCAGTGCTCTGAACCTCTGAGCCATCTCTCCAGCCCTCTTTCTTTCTTCTTTCCTTCCTTCTTTCCTTCCTTCTTTCTCTCTCTCTCTCTCTCTCTCTCTCTCTCTCTCTCTCTCTCTCTCTCTCTCTCTCTCTCTCTCTCTCTCTCTCTCTCTCTCTCTCTCTCTCTCTCTCTCTCTCTCTCTCTTCCTTTCTTTCCTACACAGAAGCCCTGACTGTCCTGGAACTCAATATGTAGACAAATCTGGCTTTGAACTCAGAGATCCACTTGCTTCTGCCTCTGAGTGCTGGGATTAAAGGCATGCACCACCATGCCCAGGTTATAAATTTCTTAAAACAACCCCAAATACTAAAATTAATTTAACCTAAGAGCGAGGATCAATTACAGCCCCAGAGGGGGGAGGATGAATACCCATTATCCAAAATTCTCTGGGACCAGAAATGCTACATATTTCAAAGTTGTCTGAATGTGGGGGTATCTGTATAAACTTTATTGGTTGAGTGTCTCTAATCTGAAAATTTGAAATCATTCAGAGTTCATGTTCCAAAATCTGAACTATTACATTATTGAGTACATGCAGTAAAGATCAGAGGACACCCAGCAGGAGTCGATTCTCTCTTACCCTGTAGGTAGGTCTCAGGGATCAAACTCAGGTTGGTTGTCGTCAGGCTTGTTGAGTCTTTGCTCCGTGAACCATCTCACCAGCCCTGGAACTTTTTGAGCATTTTAGATGTTAAGATTAGGAATATTCAACCTGTACTACTACAGTTCAACAAATCTGAAATGCAGGATAGGACATATGTGGTCTCTGAAAGTTAGCCCGTGGTAAGGCATCTTCTGCAAAGCACAGTGGTACTCCTGTCCTTACTGACACAGCGAGGGAGAGAAACACGTCTCCAGAACCTCAGTAGCTTGTTATGCTGTGTGGGGTGGGGGTGGGGCTGGCTTCCGCCTCTCTGCACCCTCCAGCTTGCTATGCCTGGAACATGCCAGGCCAGGCAGCCCCAGGGCTTTGCCCTTATGGATCGCGTTATCTAGAATGCTCCTTCAGCTTGGCTTGTCCCTTGACCTCCTTCTGGTCTTCTCTCAAATGCCACCATCACAGGGAACCCTTTTCATCCTGGTTAGTGCTGGAACACCCCTATCCCACTTTCCATCCTTTTATTTTAACTGTTTTCTCTGAGGCCCTTTAGCATTGTCTGGTAGTCAGTTTATTACCTACGGGGATTATGCTTGTGGCTGTTGTCCAAGTGTCTGGAATAGGGCCTGGCATATAACAGGCCGTTTTGGATAAATAAGTAATGTCAGATGAACAGATGAATTTCACCAGGTCAGTGTGAATGTTTTTCCCTCATTGCTTGTATATCTAGTGCCTAACGCAGTCATGTCATGGGCAATTATGGATGCTGGGCAAATAACTTATTGACTGAACGGTGCTTGAAGCACCTGCGAACTAGGTAGCCTGTTCAAGGGCACGAAGGCAGAACAAGGGTAAGAGCAGTAGGGTAATTCAGCTGACTCTGCCCATTTGTCCCACTAGGGAGTTACTGACTTGTCAGCTCTCCTATTTTGGGGAGACGAAGACTTTTTGGAAATGTCTGTAGTTGTCCCAAAGTCCAGTGCACTGCCTCTCCTGTGGTATGGCTGTAACAAATGTTTATAATGTGTTTTATTTCCTCCAGCGTTGCACTGAAAATAGCCCACAACAGCTTCAGTCCTTCGGGGCTAAATCTGACATGCAGGTGTCTGCCAGGCTCTCAGAGAAGTAGTGAACAACCTGCACAAAGCTCCCCCGGTCATCCTCAGAGAGCTTTCCCAAGATGCAGGCTGAAGACTTAGCAGGTTGACCATGATCGCGTCTAATCCCTTTTCTGGTCAGAGGACTATCTCCAACCTTTCCTCCTCGAGATCTGGGAACACTGGGCGGAGGGACCCCCAGCCCCCAATGAGGACCTCGCCAGTGCAGGGCACGGTTCGGGCCCCGCGCGCGGGAGCGGGGGGCGCGCGGTGGTTCCGCGCGGGGATGCGCGCGCGCGCCTGCCTCGTCTCCCTCGCCCGCTCCGGTGCTACGTGCTTTCTTTGTCAATGAGGAGCTGCTCTGAGCTGCAGTAGCACTCACGGCTGGAGCCAGAGCCCGGCGATTGAGCGAACCAGTGGGGACAGAGACCCCGGCGTAGGGGCGGCGGCGGGTAGCAGATTGCTCGAGCCAAGGCCGCGGGCTTTCCGCGTCTCGCAACCTCGCGCTTAGGGTGCAGCATCCGGCTCCGGGGAAGGGACCCGGGCGCCGCCCGTCCCACCCTCGCCGCACCGTGGGAACCCCATGCGGCGGCGGTCCCCGCGCGCGTGAAGCCGCGGCTCCTCCGAGCCCGCCCCGGACCGAGGCAGGACGAGCGAGCGGCTCGCGCCTCCCGCTTTCCTCCGGCTCCCGGGCCATGGCCGGAGATGCCCGGTGAGGAGTGGTGCGCCCAGGGCTGGGCTCCCCGGCGCGGTGTGGAACGAAACAACGGCCTGGATGTGTGAACTGTCCCTATGGCTCCGCAGGAGGCGAAGCCCCAGGGCCCGAGCGAAGCTGGGCCAGCGGCGCGGGAGCCCAGGGACCGACCCCGGGAGCGTGTGCTCTGCGGGGCGGGCGGGATCGCCACGCGCTTCCAGGGCGTGAGGAGCTCCGGGGCCCGCCGGTCCCTGGAAGCGCCGCCTCTGCGGCCGCTGCTGCTGGGACTCTTGCTGCTGGCTGCCCTTCCCGGGCATTGCCGAGCCGACTCCGGTAAGCGCTTGGGAGCGGCTCCGCGCCCGCGGTGGGGTCTAGAGCAGCTTAACCCAGTGGAGGTGGGTGGTGGGCTCTTTGCTGCACCGCTGGGCTTTTCTCTGCTCTTAGCAGTTGTAACAGCGGGAGAACTGTCAGAAATCTGTCTCTGGGAAGGCATCGTGGGCGGAGAAGAAAGAGGCACGTTTTTATCTTTTTTTCTGGACAAGTTGCAAATGCTTCCTGATGGTCCCACAAACGCGCTTCGTTAAACTAGACATGGCGTGAATAGGATAGTCTAAAAGGGACCTATTAAGTGGGACACGTTAGGAATGGGGCCATTCACTGTGGCTTCGCCATCCTGTTGCTAGTATTTACTTTGTCTTAGCAAGGAATGACCTGAGAGTTTGAAGAAATTTCTGTATTTCTGTGACGAAAGAGCGTTTTCCTCTTCTTTATAACAGCTTTTTTTTTTTTTTCCTTTTGGGAATAAGGTACTTAAAATAATTGATTGACCCTTGCAAAAGATTCCGGCATTGATCAAGCGCATAACCTATTATTTGCAAGAGGCTTATTTAAAAACAGTCATGCTTGGCACTCAGACTTCTAACGATCCTTCAGAAATAGGTTTTTGTAATTCCGTGGACAATTTTGTGGATCTGTTGTAACTATTTGGGCGGAATTATTTTGCTGAAGTGCTTTGAAACTTACACAGTGCCCTCAGCCGCGGTCTTTGAAGTAAGAGTGATTGCCATGGCTCCTGTAAAGGACAAGCTTTTGTGTTTGTGGTGGAATTCTGGACTACAGACATTAATTTTATCAAACACAAACCTCTCATTTCAGGTAATTGGTTTTTGTAGTGTTGCAGCTTTTAGTGAGGACCAAGAAGGATTCCCCCCAACCCACACTCGTGCTCTGCCTGTGTGTGCCCTTTCCCCACATCAGATTAAAATTCCCAGTTTTGAAGGGTCTTACAACGGTTTTAAATGAGTGTTCTGGTTGGCTATATANATATAATTTAAAGCCATTTTCCTTTGGTTCACCTAAAAGTCATTGACATGAGGGATCTGTGTGTTAAGTGACCGTGTGTTGCGGAATTCCTTGTGATTCTAATGGTTCCAAAGTTCAGCAGTCGGCCTTCTGGGGCATCTGCTCCCCTGGCTTTAAACTTGTGGCCCAATGTTGGGAGAGAAGTCATGAGGAAGACATGGAAGTTCATTAGTGATCGTTGACTCAGAATCATAGAGTTTTTGGTTAGCAAGCATCCAATTCTTGATAGTTTTGTAAACCGTTAGAGAGCTTTTCACTTTTGGATGTGCTCAGAGATTGAACACTGTTTGGCCATCTGTGATAGGTGAAATTTGGCTCCCCTGTATTGCCCCGTTCAGACCCCTGTCAGCCGATTTTCTCTGACAGGGTTTTGAGTTTCTGGTCTCCCTTCCAACCTTTGCTTGGCTCCTTACCAACCTCCGAGGCTTTGCTTGGCTCATCTTTCAGCCACCCAGAACCTTATCTAGGGGACTTTTCATCTTCAACCCAGGTCTTAGTCTGGGGACACCCCCCCCCCCCACTTCTCTTGCAGTGAGACACAAGCCTAGGCTAGACAATGGTTAGAATGGTGGGGACTGTCACTAAGTAGTTGTCCTCCGAGGCCCTTTATCTTCGCCCTTCTCACTGGACTCGGCTTCTCTGTGCTTCTGGGGTGACTTTTCAGCTGCCACCCTTGACGCTCAGTTGTGTGTGAGCGAGGCCACCTGTGGATCCGCTGTCTGCCTCTGAGCTCCGCAGTGTGCTGTAGCTTCACCACTGGTCCAGTTTTATGACTGGCTTCTCGGTGCCAGAGTGCACCCTGAGCATCCAATGGGACCTCATCCCCTCTGTTCACATGTTCTCAGATTTCAGCTTCTTCCCAGCCAAGGAGAGGTCTGGGCGTCTCAAGGGGTTTGTGGGAGGGAGGCAGGAGGAGATGACTCTTGCTGGGGACCTCTGACTTTCCATCAGCCACCTTCTCTGGAGCTTGCTCTGATGGGCAGCCGCAGTTCTGTTCTCTGCAGTGTGTGTCTGATGCCGAGTTACCTGAGAAGCCCAACCAGTGACTTGCCATGTTCTGCTTGAAGTCCTGACTGCCTATGAGCCTGTCATTTGCATCCTTGATGATTCTTGCTTTTTAAGAAGGCTAAATCAGACATTTTCCCTTGGTTGAAAAATGGACAAAAATAGATTTGTTTCTAGAAAATACTGCACCAAATTCCTAGCTCCTTTGTTGCATGGTGTTTGCAGTGTGAAAATCAGATTTCCAAGATGATCTTACCACCACACCCCATGCCCCTTTGCCTTAGTCAGAGACCTCCTTCCCATGTAAAAAGAAATCTGTGTCATCTTTAGTGTTCTCTTGAAGGCACCCTCTCCTAACTCAGTCCCATGGAACCTTTGCTTGCAGGCAATCACTTCTGTCCTAGGAAACAAGTTTCTGAAGGCTGATGCCCTTCATTCTCTTCTGCCATCTGGGTTCCAAGCAACAATGGTAGCATGCAAATTTGACATCGTAACCTTCCTAACTGTCTCCCTGTTTGGTTCATATCTGCAAACGTTTAATATGATTGTTGTGTGCAGACACAGTGCTCACTCCCTTGAAGGCCTCTGCTCAATGTGACCTTGGCCGCTGGGGCCCTTGTTTCTCTCCCCAGTGCGAAATGGGGGTAATAAAACTCTAATCTTATTGGGTGGCTGACTGATTAGGTGACTGAGCAAAAGCAGCACAGGACACAACAGTGCTTGGCATGCAGCTGCTCACGGAGTGTCTTCTGTTGTTATAAAGGTGGAAGAAATTGCCTGCATGTTTGGTTTTGCCAGATAGGATGCTGGGGTAGGGGATACGGGATTGAATAAAGTGCGACTATTTTGCAGAAGTCTCTACTGAAAAGGGACTTGAATTCTAATACTCTGTGAGTAGAACGAATAAAGCCGGACGGTAGTTAATTTTAGGGTGAGTTGGAGGTGGCGCTTTGGAGGGTGGGTAGGTTCTCAGGGTTGATGGTGCCATTTCAGCTTAAGGAAAAACACAGGGTTCTCTGTACCCAGAGCACAGGGTAGAGGAGGACCCAGAAAACTACCTTGCCCTGGGGCTTCCATGTATCTTCCTCCTGGAGTGGCTTCTCCAGCCAATGTATTCATCCTCCATTCATCTTTGCTTCCCTATTGCTTGCTGCAACTTCCAAGATGGAATAGGAGCCCAGTAAAATTTCAGCTTTCTTACCCTTCCATTTGGTTGATTCTGTTAGATGTTGGAATATTGTTTCAATCAAGTAACTCACAGTAATTTGAGAGTGGCTGATTTATTCGAAGAAGGGTTTGCTGATGACTGGGTTCTCTAGCTTAGTATATCACAAAAAGGAGATAGCTTTACCCTGTATGTCTTTCTTGCCCTTCTCCAACCTCCTTTACGCATCACCACATTGGAGCCCAGTCCATAGAGTCTGCATTTCTTTCATGCATGCCTTCATGCATTTATTCTCCTACCCATTCATTCATCCGCTCATTCAGCCTGTGTTTTGAGTACCTCACTATCCTGAGGTTATAGTGATGAATCCAAATAAGGTCCCACTTCTGTGTCATTTGAAAGTGGTCCAGTGCTTTCTAAACTTTACTGAGGCTATGGATCCCTTGAAGACTCTGCTAAAATTCAGGCTGTGATCTGGTTGGTCTGGGACAAGACCTGAGATTGTGATGACGACTGCATTCTACAGACCCCATTTGAGTAGCAAGTGATTTAAATAAATATGGTAGGTCCTTTGGAGAGAAGAAGTCAGGGTCAGCGTTGGCACCTTTGTATCTGTGCTTATTTCTATTGGACGGCAAAGGAAGGGTCAGGGATGAGGTGATGAGGGAGCCCAATGGCTTTGTGGGGAAGTTTTCCCTGTGGAGCGAAAGGTACTGCAGAGCTTGAGGTAGCTGAGGAGTAGCAGGGAAGCCAGTGCAGAACTGAGCAACCAGAGGAAAATAGTAAGAAAATACTGAAGAGGGAGCCGTGCACAGACAGGTTACGCAGAACTAGTTGACAAGGACATGCTGTTTTCTTCTTGGTGAGATGGTGGGCCACTGGAACAACTCAGACTTCAGTCCTGAAAGAATCACCTTGGCTTTGGTGGGAAGAAAGACTGTAGGTTAGGAGGGAGGCAGAGAGGTCAGGCTGTGGCTGAAGTCCAGGATGAGGATGAAGATGAAGACGACGTAGACAGTAGAGATGTGAGGTGAGGGTGTGAACGTGGTTTTGAGACGGAGCTGTTGGAATTGTGTGAAGTATCAGGGTAGCAGAGGAAGAGAAGAAACAGCAGGACCTTGCCAGCTGCTGAGGTCTTTGTGTTAGCCGCGGTGATTGATGAAGACTCGGTGTGCGGATGTGGAGGTATTTGGTGGTCTTGAGAGTGGCAGGGACAGAAGTTGCCAGTGGGTTCACAAACCTCCAGTGGATTCAAGAGAGGAAGAAGAGAGACACTGGGACCACGGAGAGGGCACCTCTTCCCACTCTTTTCTTCATTGGAGGCAGAGCCTCTCTGTGGCCTCAGACAAGCGAGCTCTGGAATTGTAGGCGTGAACCACCACAGCAGCTCCATGAAACTCTTATTGGAGGGAGGCCACTTGTTCATCCCGGCCACCTAGAACCAAAATAATCACACAGAAGTTATATAGTTTAAATCACTGCTTGGCCCATTAGCTCTAGCTTCTTATTGGCTAACTCTTACATGTTAATTTAACCTATTTCTAGTAATCTGTGTATTGCCACGTGGCTGTGGCTTACTGGGTAAAGTTCCGTCTGGCTCTGGCGGGGCTACATGGCTTCTCTCTGCCTCCACCCTTCTTTCTCCCAGCATTCAGTTTAGTTTTTCCCACCTAGCTCTGTTCCCCTATAGCTCTGTTATAGGCCCAAAGCAGTTCCTTTATTAACCAATGGTAATCACAGCATACAGAGGGGAATCCTACATCACTCGTTTCTGTAAGGTTGAACACCAGTGGACTTGGGT